AAACCTCTAACATAGACCCTTGATAACTTAAAACCTCTATAACTTAAAATATTCCGTATTTCCCTTGGACTTTAACTTATCGAGGTTCTACTATATATATAATAAATAAACATCCCGAGGATAAAACAAATATAATACAAAGCAGCAAAACAAATGTCACTCATGAGCTACGATGTGAACTGAAGTGAAAGTATTGACCGAGCACTTCAATTACTTTATTGTGTGTCCTCTACGTATACATTTACCACAAATAGTATATGACTAAAGTATTTACTATACCTTAGTCATATACTATTTGTATATGACTAACGTATAGTAAATATATGACTAAGGTATATCTATAATATAAGTATATCATACTTATATTATAAATGCGAAAGTTTAGATGGATGGATAGATGGATGGATGGATGGATGGATGGATGGATGGATGTTAGAGTTTGTAGCCCAAACGGCTGAACAGATTTCGATGAAATTTAGTATAAATGTAGAGGATAGTCTGGAAGAACACATAGGCTACTCACCTTTGGTTTTTTTTAATATCATGCGGACGGAGTCGCGGGCGAAAACTACTAAAAACTAAGTACGACTTGATGGTTACAATGGAAGGGAAGACATATTTTTAGAATGTTACCATGTTATTGTTATGTCGTCTAAAGATGTTAGTTCTCTTAAATACATTTATGATAAGACTAGCTGTTATCCGCGACTTCATCACTATTCAGATAAAAAAAGTCATCTATAATGTGCCTATCTATGGCAACTATCCTCCAGTAAAAGTTCCGTTGAAATCGGCCCAGGTGTTTCGAAGATTACCCGGAAGAAACGCGGCTTGCGGAAAGACAGACGAAAAATTTTTAAATGCGATTTTAACGCAAATACATCTTCCTGAAATCTGTATTTCTTTTGATATTACAAACAAACACTCCAAATTTATTATATGTATGCATAGATAGATATAGATTTATTAATTTTGTCTCACTAATTCTGTTTTATTTATGTCTTCACTGAATTCGGGTACCATGTTATTGCGTACTGGTACAAAATGATAGAAAACTTTCACGCTTTTTCGTTTACCATTTTTTTACTTCCCGACCCCATTTTATAGGAAACGTGACTTGGTAACTTTATGTTTACGATCAGTATTGGTGCGAAACGAGCGGTTTTTAGGAACTCTGATTACGGATATTACATTCTATAGTTAAGGAAAACGGTTTCTCCGTAGTTCTGGTTATTTTTAGATACTTATTTATTTTAAATGCAGTGTCTATAAGAGCGGGCACACACTACTGTTGTGCGATTGTCGATTGTATCGCAGCCAATTCAACTGTTTAGTTGCACAAGTAGTGTCCACACCTCCATATAAGCTCATAGGAATCAAAACGCGACTAAACAGTTGTACGATAGATTAGTCAACAGTGTGTGTCTTACTAAATTGTTACAATATTACTGAGTTTTTATATAATAAAAATGTTAATCAGCCCAAAATTTTAAGGGTCGTTACTGTGCTTTAGTATTTTTTAATGTTATATATGTATTTAATAAATTTGTTTTTATGTTCTTAGTTTGAGAATATTAGATTTATAATAGAAGTAGTATTAAACATGACAGTGGGTTACAAAGTTACTTTATTAACCCTTGTAGCTTAAATCCCGAAGTCATTTGGTTACGTTAAGGGTGATACGAAACAAAGTTATACATTTTCCCTTTTAAAAGGACCTTAGGGCCAAACTTATCTATACTATTATAATAAACCGTAAACACACACTTCTTGTCAGCAATTACAACATATTTTTGAATAATTATTATTTTAATAAAAACCCCACCCCTAAGGTCACCTTTTAGGCTTAATTAGGTAAATATTTGCATATAAAACCCTAATGTGGGAAACAGACCATAAGTTGCTGCCAACATCAAAAAAAAAGATTGCTAAGATGTGTCATGTCATGTCATTTTGACATTTGCTATTGCTATTGACAAACGTTAACAATAAAATAAAATTTTCATAATTTCATGCGCATGACATGATGACAATCCATGGCAATCTTACTTCCTTGATGTTGGCAGCTTGTAGCTTATGGTCCCTTTCCCACATTGGGGTTTCTGACCAATTTATTTACTCCCTGAGTTTAAATGCGTGAAAATATATAGCCTAAACCGTGATATAAGTATGCTGTGATTGCTGACATCTTATGCCACAAAGTAGTGTGTCTTTACGCTTTATTATATTAGTACTCGTATAGATAACAATAAGAGTAAGCTGCCCTTTAAATAAATGGTTTAACTCTCAGATGTAGTGACCATTACCTCTCAGAGTTTATATTACTTGGCTTTACATTTCACTAACACACTCTCTATGCGCATAAATTACATTATCTAGCCGGATTTCTCCCACATCTGCAATGTTTGGTATGAGATTCGCGAAAATTTAGTTTAGTGTTAAAGTTCCAAAATGAAACTAAATTCGCTCGGATTGACAAATAAAAAGTTTAAAGCAGAATTATGAGCAATTAATTGATGAACAATTTATAAAAAGTAGAAACTTAATTCAAAGAAACTGAGAAAAAATGATCGCAAAGAAAGCAAGCGGAAATTATAATTTAAAATTCTTTTTAGTTAAATGATTTTATTTTTAATAAAATTACAGAAATTGTACCAGTCAATAGCAGTAAAGAACCAATATTGCTTTTTACTTAATTTCTTAGCCATTGGCAAAAACCTTCATAGTCAATTGAGCATTTGAATTTTGTATTATAAATACATTAAAGTAAAGATTGCCTCTTAAAAATCTGTACTAATAAATTTGGAGTGTCTGTAATATCAAAACTTCAGATTTCGGGAAGATGATGTATTTGCGTTGGTTATAACGAAAAGCACATTTAAAATGTTTTTGTATGTCTGTACGCAAGCCGCGTTTGTTCCAGGTAATCTCAGAAACGGCTGGACCGATTTCGATGGGACTTTCACTGAAAGAGAAATGACATAGATAGTAGTAGTTTTGGGATAGATATTACAGGCTACTTTTTTATATAAATAGCAAGTATAAAATAAAATGCCGATGAAGTCGCGAATTGCTAGGAATATAAGTTCGTTGACCTTTTGGAACGTGGATTGTAAAAATTCGTCGATTTTTATTATGTTTGTATTTTAATTACGTATAAACGTTTTCCGCGACTCTTTATTTGGCTTTACCCGATGCGAAAAGTATTTTAGCGTGCACTTTTATTATTTAGCTTTTCAGAAAACACCTCATCAATCAAAATTAATTTTCTAAGAGGAAAATCGTCCGTTTCGGCTTATGAATTCATTAAAATTCAGTAATTCACTTGAGAATTTATAAAAAGTAAATTGCCATCATCAATATTACCACTGGTACTGACCTGTATAAATGGGTAGGCTATAAACTATCGTTGTTGGTTGGCGATGGTCGCGTTGTAGTTAGAACTAATAATAGACTTAAATTCAAACTATCGTGGTTTTTACAAATCAAATGTTCGTAAGATACAGGGTTACCGCAATTGAGTTCTTTTAGCTCCCGATATTTAGGCACAGTTCCATGCACTATGTTCATGAACTGGCTCTGTGTTAAAAAAATGCAACTGTGCCGAAATATCGGCAGTTAAATCAACTCAATCGTGGTAACTCCGTATCTTATGAACATTAATTATCTTTGGCTGTCGTTAATGTCAAAAGGCGCTTTAAATTCGGAACTAAGCAAAAGCTGTAATTTCCTAACAATAGTCTATTTATATACATTGCTATAAAAGTTTTCCTCGTATTTAAAAAATTAAGATTTACTGGGAAAATGTTAAAATAAATTAACTTGTGGGTTCAGTAAATTTTTTGATAAAAAATTTCAATTCTGTTCAACTTCATGAAATGCTAATACGCGTCTAGTTTCTGTTGGAACATTCCCGTTAGCTAATGCAAACATCAAAGAATAATATCGAATACATTTGCAGGGAAACACTGAGAAGAAACACCCTGGGGAGTTATTTCCAATACAACTTGTCGAATATAGTAATTTATCGCATGCAAAAATATCCAGAAGTAAAATATACACTATCGTTCTTTCGTCGTTGTTTGCTCTTTTCAATATATTAAATACTAGCTGTTACCCGCGACTCTGTCAGCGTGAAATTAAATAATATATAGCCTTAGTTATTCACAGATAACGTAGTACAAACAACGTTATACTCATAGTAATTGTTTTGTCTGGGTCACAGATTGAAATTCAATGTTAGCTTTTTCTATCGTTGTATAACTTCTATGTTCTTTAACCTACACCCGGTATCTATTCTATACAAAATTAATTTTTTGTCGGTTTGTATTAAACATTTACAAACCATTGGAAGCCAGAAATATTACCAACCTTATTGTACTATATTTCATTGAAAAGATCTCTTGTTTTTATCTTATGATTAAAAATATATAGTGCATGTTGCAGAATGCGAAGCAAATCGGTTCACTTCCTAACTATTACAGTCTTTATACTGCGCCGGCAATCGCCCATTGTACGATACTTACGCGTGGCATCAATGTTGTAGAGACATAGTTAAATTCGTCGATATACAAAATGACTAACTTTTAAATTACTAGCTCAAAATGTAATCAGCCTTCCAGTTATATTATTCTATTTTAAAAAATAGTATTAAGGGGCATAAAAGCAACTTTTTTAAAGTATAACTTACAAAGAATCATTCATTGTTAAAGAAAGTCTTTGTCAAATGAAAGCTGAAACTAATGTTTTCCGTTTACTCCAGTCAATATGGAAAACCAGTGAGATTTTTTTTATAAGTACCAATGTCTAGTTAAATAAATGTTCATCGGACGCGCTCGTATCTAAACGACTAAAACGTAATCAACCTAATTGAATTATAACTGAAGCTATACATGTGACGAACGTTCAGAACACGTCGCGATATGAACCATTGTTAAAGTATTTTAAAGAGATATAAAATGATCGGTCGTTTTCAAAGATTGAAATTCTTAAGATTCAAAATGAATATAATGTCTATATTCATGGGCACAGTGTATATCGGTGTGTTCTACATATTACTACACGCGTGGATTCAACACAAACATAAAACGGTAATGTACACACATAAAGGTGTGAATCTATCGAAAGTGATTGTACATATAGACTTGAAAGGATCGCCACCTAAATTGGAATATCTGACGTCACTACTCCCATTGTTAAAGGATGTTGGTGCAAACGGTTTACTAATGGAATACGAAGATATGTTCCCGTACAAAGGGGATATTGTTAACTTAAGTTCGAAATATTGCTACAAGGAACATGAGGTATGTTACATTTTTTTAACTTATTATATCGACTAGCTGTTCCCGTGCGACTTCATCCGCATGAAATTATGAAAATTTTATTTTATTGTTTACATTTGTCAAATCATCAATAGCAAATGTCAAAACTTGACAATCTTGCGTCTTTGTTGTTGGCAGCAACATATGGTTTCTTTCCCACATTAGGGTTTTTATCTAAAATATATACCCCCTAAGTTGGCGTGAAAACATATAGCCTAAAGCGTGACGTAAGAATAGGGCTGTTTATTAAAAAAAAATATTCAAAAACATGTTGTAATTGCTGACATCTTAGGCAACAAAAAAGTATGTGTTTACGCTTTATAATAAAAGTATAGATTTATTTCGACTGTCGGATATTTAAAACAAAAATGTGTCACACTAAAATAAAAACATCTATTTCGGTGTAAAAAACAAATATTTTCATACTCTAAAGCTCCTTCAAAGTCATTGGATTAAATGTTAATTTGTATAGAACAATGTCTACGAAAGTTTACATGTGTTGATAATAAATTTCTTGCAAAGTTTACATACTTTTAGTATAACCAATTAAGTTTTGTTTAAAATAATTTATGTACTACTAGCTTTCGCCCGCGACTCCGTCCGTGCGGAATTAAAAAAAACAAAGCAAGTATCCTATGTGTTCTTCCAGAATATCCTCTACATCTATGCCAAATTTCATCGAGATCCCTTAAGCCGTTTAGGCAACACACTCTAACAAACATCCATCCATCTATCCATCCATCTATCCATCCATCTATCCATCCATCTAAACTTTCGCATTTACAATATTAGTAAGATTAGTAAGAAGTAAGATTAGTAAGATATAACAAAATAATCAGTAATATTTTTATATATATTTACAGCTTAAAGATTTCATCAAGATTGCTTGGAAGTCAGGTTTAGAGATCATACCATTAATACAAACTTTTGGTCATATGGAGCATGCATTGAAATTGCAAGAATTTAAACATTTACGTGAAATTCCAATCTACCCCGACTCCATCTGTCCCAGCAAACCAGAGAGCATGGATCTAGTTAAAAACATGTTACAACAGGTGGGTAAATATATGATGTTTAGGGCTTACCCCACCACTGGCTGATAGCTCAGTTAGCTTAAAAGTGACGTCACTATCAGATAAGGTAATAAAATCCAGTATTTCCATCACATGTTTTACAAGTTGGATTGTTATGAAACAATTTACAATATTGTGGGACAGGCCTTCAATGTATTTGTTTCTTAACCTATTTATTGATTTATAAGCATACTATTGATTGTTGATTTTAATTATACGTATGATTCCAAATGAATGGACATAAACTAGAAAGTGTTAAGATTGCATGTGGATGGCTATAAAGGTAGAGGAAGGCCGAAGAAAGTATGGATTGTGGGAAAGAGGATATGTTTAAGAAATGAGTGGATTCAGATGTGACTGCTGATAGAGACGTATGGTAGAGCAGCACCTACTGTGAAGACCCTCCGTAAGGGATAGGGCAAGTGGATTATGATGATGAATGATTCCAAATAAAAGTACAATTTTATATTACTAGCTTCCGCCCGCGACTCCGTCTGCGTGGTATTAAAAACAAAACCAAGTACCCTATGTGTTCTTCCAGACTAACCAATACATATACCAAATTTCATTAAGATCCGTTTAGCAGTTTAGGCTACAAACTTTACCAAACATCCATCCATCCATCTAAACTTTCACAATTATAACATTAGTATGATTCTGACAGCAGTTCTTTACTTGTATTCGAAACATAAGTTTAATTGTCATTACCTGCTGCATTTCATTGTTATTTTTGTTTCTAATTTCAGGTTATTCAATTCCATACCAGTGTGATACCATTGAATCATTTACATATCGGTTGTGATGAAGTTTATCACATAAATAAATGCGCACAATGCCGTAGTCGGAGAGCAAAAGAAATGTAAGTATATTTATCGCTAACAAAATCAATTATCTACTTTATAATTGAGGTTTTAAAGTGACAACTTGAATAAAAGTATGACAATATTAGCCTTCGCCCGCGACTCCGACCACGTCTCCTAGTACTATGTGTACCTATTAAGTGTAGCTTTTAAATGGTTTAATTTTTGAAATCGGCCCAGTAGTTATTGGATTATTTAAATACATACAAAATCACAAATCTATCCTCTTTATAATATTAATGTAGATATATATTTTGTACTTCGTATCGTTTTTTTGTTTAATTTCAGAGACATTTACATGAGTCATTTAGTAAGCGTAACTGATATAGTGAAACTCTACAGTCCAAATGTGACAGTGTTATTTTGGGACGACATGCTTCGTGGTATCGACTCTAAATACTGGAATACTGTGAAGAGTATGAGTGATGTTGAACCAGTATGTTGGGATTATTCAACAAGGTTACACGTATCACATAGAAATTTATACAACTATCATAAGAAATTCAATAACATATGGATAGCTTCAGCGTATAAAGGTGCAGAAGGAGTGACTGCTACTTTACCGGATTTATACAGTCGTTTTATGAACCATTTAGAATGGTTAAGATTTATATTTGATTACAAATTCGGAGGTGAAAGGAAACCATACAGTTTTAAAGGTATAATTCTAACAGGATGGTCAAGATATAGCCATATGGAACCATTATGTGAACTGCTACCCGCTTCTATACCAAGTCTAGTAATGAATTTGTTACTTGTCAAACATTTTCAAAAAGAAACAATTGACGATGTATACTCACTTAAACCAGCAGAAGTCTTCCGTAGATATGTACGAGATGATTTTAAAAAATATTTCAATTGTGAATATGCAGAATTTAAAGAATTCGATAGTCACGCATGTAAATACAGAGAAAGTAAATTATATGGTGATTTAGAATATTTTGTCTATCAAAATGATGATATTATTAATAACATAAATGATAATAAAAAAGGATTACATTCAATAGCGTATTATAATAAAATAGATCATATTAATATGAATTCGATTAAACCGAATATAATTTGGTTGAATCAAAGTCTACAAGATTTTATTACAACAGAAACTAAGATATCAAAATCGATGTTAGAATATCATAACGCGTTTGTCGTAGTCGAATACGTTCATTACAAATTCTACAACGAAAAGAAGAGAGTTAAAAGTTTGTTAAAAATATTAAAGGATTATTATAAAATCCACACTTGGCACAGGAAATCTTATAAATACTTATTGAATTAACTAAGGAATCAAAAACAAACTATTATTTGTATTGTATACATTCTTTACTAGGTAAGTTTTATGATTATAATTGTTGCTTCTGGCATATTTATTCCTATTTGCCTTGATATACAGGTATTAAAATATGAGTTAAAATGTTCAATTAAAATAACTAGTTCTTTCATAATAATGATATTTATTTAAACTATAAATTCATAGATTACAACCAAGTTGTTTTAGTGAGGAAATTTTTTTCAGTATAATTTCACCACAATCCAATGCTGTTACAAATTTTAGGACCTATCCCACCACTGGCTGATAGAGGCTCAGATAGGTTAAAAATGACGTCACTGTCAGATAAGGTAACAAAATCCGTTCCATCGCACATTTTACACGCTGGATTGTTATCAGACAATTTACAATTTGGTGGGACAGGCCCTTAAAAATGTTATTTTATCGACAGCATATCAAGTAATTAGATTCTTCAAGCGTATAACGAATCTCAAATATACCAATATATTTAATTTAATACAAACAAAACAACCAAACATCAGATTCTCTTGTATACAGTAACATTATTTAAATTAGACTACTTGTAGGTTGAGAAGATAGTTTGATATATCCTTTGATAATATGATATCAAATTGCAATGTAAGAAATATCTGCTTATTTTAACACACTGCAAAAGCACTTAATATAAAATTCAACACTACCGTTAATAACAATATCACTTTTAACAAAAATATCTTTTAGCACCTAAAATTCAGCTCTTAAAAAAGTGTATGGTTTTATCTATTTTTACTGTCAACGTCATTAGTATCGTTTATTTTAGTTTCTATGATTGATTCTCTAGGCTTATGTACTGGTGCTATTTCTACTGGAGGTGGAGTTATTGGTACTAGGCTACCATCTTCTTCAGCTACCTTCAAACCAATAGTTGCACCTAATTTAGCACTCGCTTGTTTAAACGTATCAGATAGTTTAACTTGTACTACGTTAATACACATAGATGTTAAAGCTAATCCGAATATTAAATACAAAATCGAAGCCATCATGAACATCGGATGATCGGGTACCAAATCACCGAGACCAATAGTCGACATCGATATGAAAACGAAATAGAATGATTCGAAGAAATCCCATTTCTCCCAAAGATTAAACGTGAAAGCTCCAATTATAATATAAATAGCTAAAATTGTTATAGCTACTGATATCGGCAGATTGAATTCGTCGTCTATTTCGAATACAGATGGCGCTGGTGTATCTGGATCTGTTGCGTTTTCTGGGTCAGGTCGTAGAGTTCCAGGCTTTGGTGGTAAAGGAGGAGGTACATCGCTGTCTCTTCTTTCAATCGGTGGTGGCTTGTTGTCTTCTGGTAGCTCGTTTATATCCTCTTCAGAAAATATTTGTGAAGGTCGACGTACTACGTCGTATACGATGTTTAGGCCTTTTATTACTTCCTGAAAACAAACGATAGCACTATTTTTACATAATTATAATAACTTTAATACAAATGTAAATATAAATTGTAATTTTAGAAATAATTCCTTTTACTATGTTTTATGAATCACAGTCAGTAGAACAGATGAACAACATATCTTTGTTAAAGATATCGATAGCTGCAAAGCAAACATAATTTTTTATATTACATTGTGTTACTTGCCTGCATCGGGACAGTTCTTCGAACTTTCCTGCAGCTTCTGGTATAGTAAAATCTTCTAATGAATGCCCAGAAGAACTTGATAATCCTCGTAAATAATTTACCGAAGTCAGCAAGTACAATCAAAAATAGCGGAATACCAATTATAGCATAAACTATAGTAGCCACTCGTCCATACGTCGTCTTTGGAGCTATGTGACCGTAACCTGTAACAGAAAAAAAAAGAATTAAGTGATTGACAACTTTTATAAAACAAATTAAAATTGATGATCCAAATAAAACACAGCGAGACAAAATCGTCTTTTTTATTTCGACGAATGTTAGTAAATACATGTTAATTATTCTTACCAATAGTTGTAATTAACGTCAGGCAATATACAAATGAGTTCATGAAATTCCAAGACCTCTGCCCGCTGTACGATGACACGCCTGCTTCGTGTGCAGTGTGTAATTGATTTTCAAATTCAAATAGCTTATTTCTTGCCATTGATTTCCAATCTTCTTCACGTAAATAATGACTACCACGCCAAAGACTTTCAATAAAATCTCTTTTAACACTCCTGCTGCCACATTTGAACGCATTTTCAAAAGAGCCCTCCAGCATTTTGAACATCATACCCCCAAACCCACAAATTATTACTAAAAGGATCAATTCACAAATACACCGGTTCCTTAGTAATCTGATTTTTTCACATACATCCTTTTGTTCTTCTCGAAACTGCTGCCAACGAGCTAAATGTTTCCATCTACTTTTTGTTGTCTTATTGAAGATGTTAAGTTTTTCATCTATATTGGGTTCGTGCTTAAATAATATAATAGGTTCTTCGCTAAAGGTATTTACACTTCTTTTCCTCAAAATAGATTTTTGTTCTTTAACATTTTTACCATTACTCTCCAATATGTTACCGGTATGCATGAGAGTAATGTTTCCCGTGGGATCCTTTTTGTCAACTTTTTCGCTCAAAAGATTTAGTTTACGTGTCAGTTCCGCTGTTCTTTCGGATAAATCAAATTCATATTCGTTTTCACTCGGTGAGGATGAATAGCAACTTGACGTATACTCAGACTGACTTGCGTCAACATATCCAGAACTGCTGTGTCTACTTCTATTTCCTTGTATTAAATCGGGTTTTTTCACTGTAGTAATCCCAGATAAAATTTCTCTATCGCTTATTATTTGGATAGTTTTTGGACAAGAAATACCTCTTGTGTGTCGTAAATTTGTTGGAGTCTTATTAGGTGTTTTTAAAACTCTATCATTATGCTTTTTATACTCAGTTGGAAGTCTCGGGTCATCTTTTGGTATTGACAAACTTCGAGCTCTTGCCTTCTGCATTAATTCTATGATTTCTAAGCTTGTTTGGCTAACTCCTGTACTAGTTTTATCTATAGTATTTCTGTTATTGTCCACCGTTCTATAAACGGATTGTGAACGATTCGCTCTGGGAGATTTCATAAAACGACGAGGTGTCGGTGTGACTTTCCGCTTAGTGATATTGTCAGAATATTTATCTTGGTATAGTTGATCTTCACTCATTTCGCTTTCACTCGTTTTGCTCTGTAAATTTTATTATTAATTAATAAGCATTAGTATGTCTCTTTACTAAATATTCTTTACACATTTTCATAACATTTTTGTTAAATAATATTGTAATACAACATTATTAACAAAATAAACACCAGAATCACTATTAATTTTAAGTAAAAACTGACCCCGAATCTTGATGCGGATTTGCTCCTTGCTGGTTTTACAGGCGGAATTTTACTTTTTGTTTCTTCTCTCGTTGGTTTAGTAGGAATTTGCTTTACAACAGTTGGCTTCTGATCTGCGGTTAATTTTTTGCTCGGTGTTCTCACTACTCTTTCCCTTATTTCTACGGCTGGTTTTTGATCTTGTGTCAATTTTTTACTTGGAGTTCTTTCTACTTGTATAACTCTAGTTACTAATTCACCGCTGGATGGAACAGCTTCAGGCTTAGTTGGTTTAGTTTTTTGGGTTTGCGAAATCATTTCTTCCTCGTTTTTAAATTCATCTTTTTTTGGTGATACTTTAGATTTAGTGCTTTTTTCTTGTGATTTAATTTCATTGACCTCATCGGGGTAGACTAATTCTTCTAACTTCTTTGGAGCTATAGGCATCGGGTATGGAAAATTTTTCTCACGTGGCGATGAACTTGCAGTTGTAGGTGGAGATAGCGATCCTCTATTTTCTAACCTTGCAGCGTCTATAGTGAGTCTAGTCGACTCGTCATCTTTGGGTCCCAAAGTGTAATTAGTGGTTAAAAGCTTATTCGTTGGATCAATAAAGCTTCCCTTACGCTCTAGTGTTGATAATTCTTCCTTATCTGGGACAGCAAAAGGTGATATACTCCTTCGTCGTCTCTCATTAGCTGCCATTGCTCGAGCTTCTAAAACTTCATCCCTATCTAAATCATACACGGGATCTTTTAAATTAGCTTTTTCCTGAACTAAACGCCTCATTTCTTCATATGTTTTATCAGCTTCTATTTCTCTCGGGTTTTGTGGATTATTATCTTCGTCTTCAGATGTTGGAGTATCTTCATGAGGGATTTGGGTGCGACTTGGCTCTGGAGTTTTCTCTCGTTGTCTCATTGCCTGTCCTCTATTTTTAGACAAGTTCCTTCTTTTTCGTAACGACATAGATTCTCTGTCGATATCGTCTTCCATCTTTAATTGCTCTTGTTGTTTACTTCTATCTGGTGATTTCGATACTAATTTTCCTGGCGTCTGTGTTTGTGACGACGCTTTTTTAGTAATAATTTTAGTACTATCCAGTGATTTATCGATATCTTTCATAACTTGAACTGCCCCGCCCCTGAAAAAATAAAATAACACCTTAAAAGTTTTGAAACGGAAAAAATATGTATTAAATTTAATTGTATGACTAATTCTAAAAGCGAGGATATTAATAATTATTCAATATTTAGAACTATTGAAGCGAAAACAAAAGTAGTTTCTTACCTTTTGTTATAGTCGCATCGAGAAACTCTGTCTTTTCATCGGGGTCAACGTAAGATGTCTAATAAAAGAATCTATTTCGAATTTCAACACTATACTTTTACGTAACACTACAATTGACACCGCTGCTGTTTTCGCATTTGTATAAACTGATGGAATATTTATAATTTATATTGGTTATGAAATTATTAAGAATTACGGTTAAAACACTGAATCATTTTACTGCAACGACGCTTAGGAACTGGCTAAAGTGCGACTAGCACGTTGGGCAACGTTCCAATTCTGCGACCACGGCTGCGTTCCGTTCGTGTATGTGTGCGCCGAAAATAAAAGCAAAATAAATTATTATAACACAAGATATGTCGCTACGTCATCGATCACAAGATCATTGCTTTATCACAATAGTTAACGATTTAAATCGTTGGTTGTAGGACGTAGTAGGATAATGTAGTTGATTAGAAGTCTCGAAGCACCCACCCACGGTAGACGGCTGTCTTAGTAAAACCTCATATGTATTTCCCTAAAGTCATGTTTTTTTTTTCAATTCTGCTCTACTTAAACAAAAAAAGATATGCTTAGTATCTAATAATATTTATGATCCAGATTATGAAAGTGCTAACAAAAGTATAATAATTTTAACTTCTAAAGAATGAAATCAACAGGAATAGAACCTTTTAAAAAATGGATTTTTAAATTTGTAATTCCAGTCTCTAGAGGAGCGTCTAGTTCTATCTGGTCATCCATCTTACTTCATCTATCTCGAGTTAATGGCTCGGCTATTAGCAATCGCAGTAGAAACTGTTTGAAAATGAGAGAGCAAAGAAATGAAAAATTCTACTTATCGAATTGGTTTTGAGCCTGTGAAAAATTAATAGCAATGAGTAGGTCAAGCAAAATTGCTGAATTAATATAACAGTAGAACGATTAACGTTCATATTTCGCGACCCTTATATTTTAAGTGATTATTTTATTACGTAAATATTTTGCAATTTCTATAAATTTTAAATTCAGCTTATCTTTCACAAAAACAAAATGTAAACGATATGCAAAAGAGAACAGTATCCCAATAAACCCCCAGAGGGAGCTTTCGCCTTTGCTGCGTTTGTTTTCTACTCGTATCTTTTTGCATGCTGTAATTGAGTTTCGAGTATTTGCTTTCGAAACACAATATTTTTGTGGTTATCTTGTTCTTGCGTAATTTGATTGTTAAATCCTGGGTATATAGTTATTATAACTATAACTTTATAACACATAAGAAATTGATCCGCAAATTTGGTTCTACAGTTCTGTGACCTAAAGTTTCGAGTCAGTTCAGAACTGATTTACCATGTCAATAATACTTTCTTAGAATAGCTTATCTAATTTAAAGTTATTTTAACTTACCAATAGTTGTAAATATAGTTCCGGCATAGAACACAGAATTCCAGAACGTCCAAGTGTTCTTCACAGTATCGTTGTCATTGAGATGTTTCATACAATCAGAATAATTATTCTCGTAGTCTTTCAAATATGCCACTATTGATGTTATCATATCCTGTAAAAAAATACACATTATTTAATAGTCAAACTTATTGTTTATTTTACCTTTTCTATTGTCTGTTTAAAACAAAATGTAAACCTTAATTTCGACATTCCCTAAACTTGCAATTTAAATTAAATTTATTTTAAACTTTAACAAAGTAATGAAGCAATGTTATTGAAGACTAATGCTACCTTTTGTAAATAGTTAAGTATGTTTAATTGTGTCATAAAATAAAAATAGCCAACTCACCTCAAAAGCGGTTTTATTATTGTAAATATCGTGAATGGTGATCGCTGCCTCTCTGCGTATCTGTGACAAGCTTTTGTCGTATTTCTGTTCACTTGAAGCTGAAATTGTATGAAAAAAAATTAACAACTTTGTAGTGTTACTAGCCTATGTGTTCTTCCAGACTATACTCTACTTCTATGCCAATTTTCATCGATATCTATTCAACAGTTTAGGCTACAAACACTGACAAACATCCATTTAAACTTTCGCATTTATAATATTAGTAAGATTGGCACTGTAATATTTTAGCGTATCGACTATAGTCCAAAGAACGTGTGCCTATTATTTTATACAAAGACCTTTGAATGTTCAAAGATTTAATTAGATGTACTTCTAATAAAAATAAATTTTGATTTATTTCAAATCAATCATTTGTGGTTAACCATAAAATATAGTTTAACAAATACGTTGAAAGCTAAAAAAAACGTAAATAAGTTGCCAGAGTTGGTATTTATTCGAAGCGATTTGTAAACGTCGCAGAACATCTGAAATGTTTATCGGGGCATTTCAAAACACGAACGCCCCGAGCCGGTTGGTGGAAATAACAAAGTAGAAAAATAAATGACTCGGAATTCCGACAAGCACACGCAACGTTGAAAAACCGAGTGACGAATGTAAACGTGTTGAGAACTATAACTTGAATTTTACTTAATATGTGCTGCGCGAGTTTATCCACGCAATATTAAGATAAAAAAGCCTTTAATAGGGCCATCTATGTCAGCTAGCCTTCAGAAAAAGTCAGCTCAGCCGTTTCGAAGATTGCCCGGAACATACACGGCTTGCGGACAGTCAGACGGACAAAAAAAAATATAGTTGTGCGATAGTTTTAGTCAAAGATGAGCGCGCACTCTTATTATTATTCAGCAATCGTTGTTTCGTTTATTAAAAAAGAGTAAACAAACGTTGTTGACTTGTGGAAATAAATGTCGTATGCCTGCCGGGGTCTCGTATTGATTTTCTTTGTATCCATAAGAACGAAAAGAATCAAAAGGGACAGATGAAATGATTATTCTCTTGTTGTTTTTCGTTTGTTTGATTTTGTTTTCTACTCCAGATTGAAATTAAAACGATTTTCGTGTATTGTTCTCGACATATCGCATGCTTCAGACCCTAATGAGATTTATCTACTTGAAGTCATATGAATAAAATATTTATTCAAGTTTGCCAAAATAAAATTAAGAGCCACGTATCTTTGACTATGACAAACTATCGCACAACAGTTGTGCGACTATCGACTGTCGATTGTTTCGCTGCTCATTAGACGATTTAGTTGCACAACTAAAAATCGAGTAGTGTTAGCTCCTATGAATCAAAGTAAGTACAAGGTACCTATAATTGTTACGATTGATAGCGTTAATATAAAATAAACAAAATTGGAAAATGTCGGTACCTATTATTTTCGAGACCATCGAGGGCCCTTCAGAGTCAGGAATTAGTATCGTTTAGCAGTCGAGGCCTGTCTTCCAATGACCCTGTCCCATTTACTCCTAAAAAGGGCCCCCGATAGATTTGAAACTAGTTGATATATCAAATCGAATGAATGAGTTAGCCATTTTATATTATTTTCTCACGAAAGTTTAAATATAAAATATCAGACAATTTTAAAACCTTTTTCAATATTCCTGATATTTGTTTTGTATACATTCGACAGTTACAAATGAAAAACAAACATTGAACATTTTGACATAAAAATATCAGTCTAAATATTTATCTATATTTTAAATCAAATAGTCGAACAAAAATACATTTAAAAAGTCCAGTCAATAATAGATACTACTGACAAAGTAAATGTTTATTCCAAAGTGATTCATCGCGCGGAGTGTCGACAAGCAGTACTGAAATGTTGAATAAACTCAAACTGTAAATGACTTTTAAATGAAGTGTGAACATTTTACATTCATAAAATCAACCACAAAACACAACAATCTATGAATATGTGCTATTTAAATTAAATATTCGTGTGAAAACATTAGATAACTAACAAATAAGAACAACTATGATATAAAAAGACTCAAAAAGACAGAAAAATGGCGAAGCGACCGCTGCCCATAGACATCCGCAATTCCAGATGCGTTGCCTACCCTTATCCTACGGAGGGAGAGACGCACATAAAGAGGATATTTCCCCTTCCTATGCATTTTCTCCATCGTCAAATCCACTTCCCCTTCCCATCCTCTCATAAGAAAAGGGTGGTAAAGAGAAAGGGACTTAAATTAGGCCTCCGGCACCACACTCTTCAGACGAAACATGGCATTGGTTCCATTTTACGCCTGTCTTCTGTGTGGTCGAGGTATTACACCGGGCGTGCCGGCCCTGCAGTGCTAAGATGTTAAAACGGACACTACCACTGTTACCAGGTTGTTAATTTGTCACTAAGAAAGTCCTTCATGATTAACTTTTAAAGTCTCTTTGGAATAATAAAAAACAAATATGTTTTTCTAAAGAAGTTTCGGACAACGGAATCTCACTTTTTCATTATCCATCACATTTACCTCTTAACATCAACTTGCCCTTTTGCCTACCCAGCGTCACAGTATGTGCTGCTCTTCCATACATCTCTATCAGCCGTCATATATGAATCCACTCCTTTGAGCATATCCTCTTTCACACAATCCATCCATACTTTCTTCAGTCTTCCTCTACCTTTGCAGCACATTCAAATTTCTGGCTTATGTCCCTATCCTCTTGACAATTACAGTAATTAATTTTCAAAGCTTATCAATCCATAAAATAATCAAGAGCTAAAAGAAATTGAAAAAGAAGACAGCTGTCTCCGAATTGAAATGAAATATCATCGGTGCGATAAGAGATTCTAAATTAAAGAAAACTCGAACATCTCTGAACGAATCGAGATGTAATTTATAACATGAAAGTTTAAGACTTTATTACGATAAAATCTGATTCATTCAATTAAATATCAAATATCTTTTTCGATAGATTTCAATTATCTTTACTGGGTAATAAATTAAAGAAATAATTCTCAACATTGGTCTTATAACTTATTAAGATAACAATCAAGACTGTTTTAATAAGAACTTTTGGGTTTGTAATTTGTATGAATAAAAAATGTAGATTACATTTTATTCTTAAATTTCCATAGTTAACGACAACCCTAAGAGTATAGAAATAAAAGTGTTTACTAACCCCTTTCAAAATGAAAAGTGTTTAAACAAATTGTCCTTTTTCAAATTAAATGAAACGCAAATAAAACCTGTCTAAGAATTTCAATTATTACTTTCATGATTTATTTGTTGTTTGCTTCAATAAATAAGTAAACAGTTAAAAGGAAAATAAATAACAGCGTACACGAAAATTAAAAAGTCTCACGTCTGCGAGAAACAAGAAATTAATCCAACTTTGAAGAAAATGAATCACAAACTCTGATCGCAATGTTACTTCGTTGAAAACGTGAAACTGATAACATTTGGAGCTGAGCTGTAAAGCTACGAACAGGCTACGAACGAGCTACGA